GCAAAGTGTCATCAGAACGCCCAAAAATCAAAAAGAATACAAAAGCTCGTTTATGATTGGTAGGTTTTTCGACGAATGAAGGCTCACCTAAAAAATTCGACCTCGGATTCGGATTTCTTGCCACCGATAACCTATAGGAAAGTTTCATCAGAATGGTGGAAAACTCGATGAATAGAAAAGTTCGTTTCTGATTGGTCGGAAAACCGATCAATAAAACCTCAGATCAAAAATCCGACCTCGGATTCGGATTTCTTGCCCCCCGTAACCTATAGAAAAGTTTCATCAGAATGACCACAAAATCTAAAAATAGAAAAGCTCGTTTCTGATTGGCTTGGACAGACAGACAGACAAACTTTAAGCATTTTTTAACCGCTGTATAACCCTTTCTTTCAGAAAAGAGAACAAAAAGAAAGGAGAATTTTTATTCTCTCATTGTCATATATGAAACAACGAAGGTTGTTGAAGGCAAAGAACAAAAAATGATCAGGTAGTGGTGCAATTTCTTCATCTGTCAATTTCATTTCAGCGTGTGTCAACACTTCAATCTCACCACGCCGCGCTGAAATTATTTTACTGTGTAGAGATTGGTGTTCTTTCATCGCTGGCAACCAGGCAGCATATACAGTTGCTTTCACTTTGCTATCGTGTCGAGTGTCTATTGGTCGGAAGAGAGTAAGGTAAGTGAATGTGAGCAGACTAGAATTGTAGCATGGTCGAATTTCGATAAGTTTCATATCATAGTTTATTTTTGGCATTGTTCTCGAGAGAGCAATGCTATTCAACCTGGACTACACAGTAATCATACACATCGGTCTTCTGCTCTTCTTCACTTTCCATTGAGAACCGTGAATAATGAGTTTTCTTTCAAGACAAAGAGTATCATGTTCATGGTTAGGGGTGGCACTTTACTTTTACTTTACTAGTAAAAAGTAACTAAAAGTAGTTATTTTACTATGTTTATCTAATAAAAAGCAAAGTAAATGTGCCATCCCTATCCATGGTATGAGGAGTGTCGCATGAAGAGGCATCATAGGCACAAGATGAATGCATAGAAAAGGATGTGTTTTTGAACAAATTAAACCTGTTTGACTTTATGGACATATCTTCAAGGTCATTTGTATTCTCTGAGGATACACTCGATAGGTATTCTTTTTTACTTGAATCAACATCGAACCTCAAGCCTCCTACTGTGGAAAATCTTTCTTGTTCAATTTACCAAAAACTATCTAGATAGATCGAGCCAAGTGTGCTGCCCACTGAGTCCGTCAATGCCAAAAGTCTTGCACAAGCATGTTGAAAGCCCGCTTCCGGATTTACACGCGTTTACACAATATGTATGCCATTTCAAAAAGGGATACTAGCCGTCGAATACGTCTTTCCAAAACCAAACAGCGTTTTTTCGTTTGAGGGACGAAGACACCAGCATTTAAATAAACGATTTCTGTTACACAAACGAAAAATGTGTCGTATGAAATGCTTGTCCGAATAGTATTATTCAAAGACATTGAAACGACTTTTTCAAATATTTTTGGAAAATATGAGCGTTTTCTCAAAAGTCAATAAATCGAAAAAAGAAGTACCCGTTAACGACTGAAAGTTTTCAGGAATTCTAGGGATCATCGGAGCAATCTTTGGGCAAAATTTCAGATCAAGATACATTTATGCAATTGTTTCTTGAAATATCGTGTAACGGATCGAAAATTCAGTAAAGTGACTATAACTCAAGAAAGAAGACCCATGAGCACATATGCTTTTGGGATTTTTCATACCTCATTTAGGTTTCATTTATAAAGAGACTCTCTATTGAAGAGCTTTTAATAATTTGGTGTGGTTGTCTCATAAGTCACTTTCAAGCTACTATTAATAGTATGGCCCAAACTAAACAGTTGGCAGCAGAAGCACTTAATAAAGAAGTGAATCTATCGGCAGTTGAACGACAAACAGAGGCCTCACATAAGGGCGGGACTATTTGGGAAGCTATACGCAAAGCGGATCAGGCAGCACTCGAACATCTTCTCGATGCCGATCATAATGGTATTTATGCAAGAGGTCCCGTTGGTGATTGTCCCATTCATATGTTATTCTTATATGGAACTGGAGCTCATCTCAACATGGCTCGATATCTCATCACACGTTTTCCAGAGACCGTCGTACAGATCTACAATCAGCCAGTGAGTAACTTTCTATTGATGCATCTCTCTGTTGAAGAATATCTACATGATACAGGAATATTATGGCGAGATTGCTCTTCATATTGCTATTGTCAATCGTAATGCATCCATAGTCGAATGGCTGCTTAGTGATGAACACATTCGACCCTATCGAGAACAACAATTGGCAGCTGCCGCCAATGGTCACTTTTTCCAATTGTACATCTCTCTCTTGTCTTTAGGATGACATCAATATGTTCCATTTCTTTTCAGTGGCCGTCCATGTTACTATGGTGAAACTCCTCTTGCATTTGCTTGCTGTACTAATCAATGGAATATTGCCGAAATTCTACTCAAATACGGCGCCTCTATGGATATGGTTCGTAGACAACACTGCTTTTTAGAAGAAAAAGTCAAGCAGGAGATTTTTGCTTGACTCTGTATTTTAGGTTGACAGTAATGGGAATACAATATTACACTTACTTGTCATTCATAATCTACCTCAAATTTATATTAAATTCAAGGAACATTGGTTGGAAGTACAAGCAACAGCGATTAGCAAATCTAGTAATGTAGATAACGATAAAGTCGCATCCACGAAGAAAAAAGAGATTCCCTTATGGAAACGTCTCAATAAAGATGGTTTCACTCCATTTACATTAGCAGCTAAATTAGGTCTAACTGATATGTTCTCTTTTTTACTTGACGAACGTAAAATTGTTCAATGGCGTTATGGGCCTGTCTGGTGTGTACTCTATCCACTTGATGAACTGGAACTTGGATTTCAACAAGAAGTGAGTATACACTTACTTACTTTCTTTCTCTGTTTTTTCGACATACATTCAGGGCAGGGATACATCACCTGGAGCTCTTGAATTGATCGTACAAAATGCTCAAGCTGAACTTATTATGCATCCACGTATTATCGATTTAGTAGATCGAAAATGGGAGTGCTTTGCTCGACGTCTTTTTTTTCGACGTTTTCTTGTCACTCTCGTCTATCTATTCATTTTTATTATTACTACAATTCTCAGTCAGACACGAA